CTGCTGACCAAGGTCTGAGAACTGTACAAAGTTTCAGTACTGTCCCCAAATGTCTCTTTATAGCATTCCTTAATTTGACACCTACTGAAGTTTGACAGGTTTTGACAGTGACATTTAACAGAAATGTTGCTACATACTGCTTTTAAATTGCCTTTACTTTCAAAGAGTAAAGGTTGAAATGGAATTCACGAACAGTACTGTCAAGACTGGGCTCCACCAGAGAGGGCGTTTACTTTTTGTGGTTTTGTTTTTCACCTTTCTAACCTCTGTCACCTCTCACACTCCATGTTGTTGGCCTGAGAACACAATGTACAGGAAGAAGGGGAGAACTGGCCACTTTTCCCTGTGACAGAACCTTGAGAGTCGGCCAGCTGACCACCGCCCCCTCCCCATCCATATCACATACTCATTTGTTCTCAGTCACGTTCATTATCTCTGTCACTCATATTCTTTCTCTTTGTCAGTTTTTCAGCAATTTTTTTTTCTCCATACAGATAAAAGAGAAGGAACAGAAGAATAGGATTAGAGGAGGATGTGGTGGTGGTGGTGGTGGTTATGGTTAGGTGTTGTCGAGTTGAGTAAGACCCTGTGAATGACAGATCTGAACTCTGTCCTATAAGAGGAGGGCAGGACATCAGACGTGCGGCTGCACACAGGTGGACACAGGCAAGACCTGGCTCCACAGATGCTCGAATGGCTGTTCCGCAGAAACCAGATCTCATCTCTCAGCGACAGGAGAGCACATCCACTGGGAAGAGGCACATCCTCAGTCTCGGACACACTCAAACCTCTTGCCGCAGTCACTAGGTTAGTCTCCTGGTTCAGTGAGGCCTTCATCACCTTCACCGTCCCTCCACCTTTCCGACCATGATGCCTCTGTCCAAGAAATAACCTCTCGTAGCAATTTGCCCAGAGTATGTCAGATGAAGCTTTATCATCTTTACCTCCAAGGAGCCCTCTGGCTGCACCTTCTTCAAGACATATGCGCTTGTTCTTTCAGCGGCCCATGAGATATTCACAGGAAGATGAGGAGGCATCCCCCAAATCAGGAAGAATAGATAGGATTATTATTCCTGAATCTCTGTCATTCTCAACTCTTACTGCCACTGAGTTACAGCCGACTCACACCTGACCCTCCAGTGGGTTTTGTGAGGCCGTAACTTGCACAGAGGGAGATTTCCCATCTTTATTCCTCAGAACCACTGATGGATTTGAACCACCAGAGAAGCCCGGCCTTCAGACTAACAGCATTACTCCCTAGGGATTACACGACATACGTCTTCCTATATAGGAGAATTTGATGCTTTGGAGGGAATTTTGCATCCAGCTGTCATCTGATACGATCATCCCCCCTTTGCACATTTTTGTTTTTACATGCTGTCAAGTTGACAGTGACTCATAGCGACCCTATCTATGCACAATAGCTCTGAACCCTGCTCTATTCTGAGCCAGTCTTACTCCCTCTGACACACCTACTCTCATTACCCCAGTTACTGTGCCAATCCATCTCATCCAGGGCCTTCCTCTCATGTGCTGTCCCTCCACCCTTTCAGGGATGATGTCCTCCTCCGAGGATTGGCCCTTTCTTGTAACGTGGCCAAAGTATGTGAGACAGAGTCTCAAAATCCTTGGAGCAGCTTGGTTTCACCCTCTTCAAGACACATCTGTAGTTCTCTTGGCAGTCCATGTTATGTTCAGTACTCTTCTCCGGCACCACAGCTCAGAGGTGTCAATCCTTCTCTCATCTTTGGTCATTGTCCAGCTCTCTAATGCATAGCAAGTAACTATGGAGACCAAGGCTTGGATCAGGCATACTTTAGTCTCGGGTTGACATCTTTGGTTTTTAGCACTCTGGAGAGGTCCCTGACATGTAATAACCATACTCCCCTTTCTCCATAACGTCACTGATGATACTGAATAGAAACAGCTAAGTTCAAGTTTGCAGCTATTTTTTTATCATGTGCTTCAAAATCAATACCAACTCAAAGTGACCCTACCGGGCAAAGGAGAACTGCCCGTGAGCCTTCCTCAGCTTTGATCTTCATGGACACAGGTTACCAGGTCTTTTTTTCATGCCACTGGTGAGTTTGAACCAACAACATTTCTGTTAGCAGCCCAGCGTGTAACCGTTTTACCACCAAAGCTCCTTAATATTCTAGAATACTCCAAGAAACCCTTCAGGATTGTCCTCTAACCCTTCATCTCTATCTTCTGAATTTAACCATTGTACCAATTCATAAATCCAGTTAATCAAAATCATCACATCACCTCACCCCTCATCTTCTTTTGTCCTAAGGCTTTCTTGAAGAACATTATGCTTTGTTCTTCATTTAACCTCTCTGGGCCTGATTCCTCATCCGTAAGATACTGATGTCATCTTTCCTCTAGGGACACCCTGGGGCGGAAGCAAAAGGACATGAAATAGCTACCAACCTTGGGTTCTCTGTCTAGTTCTCTTTCCGCTGTGGCTTACCATCTGAGATGGGAGGGGCTACCCCAGGGGCTGGACAAATCCCTTCTCCCTGGGTGACTGCTGGACGTGAAAGCTGCCAAAGCAATGATGTTTACAACTCCCAACATTCTCTGTGGTTATTGATCCTATAAAAGTTGATTCAAGGCTTTTGTTATTGTTCTCTGAATTATTCAGTTAAAAATTATCAGTCTTGTTTGTTTCAGCCTTTTCAGGAATGTCAACACCTGCTTATCCATAATGATGAGGAAAAGGAAGCATCAGAGGATAACATTCAGGTTACCTGAATTGTGGATATTTTTTAAAACTTGATTTAAAATATAGATACACAGTCTAGATTTTATATTAGGTAGTGGCCAAGCCAGCCCTAGCACTAATCACAAAAGTAGCATTACTTTAACGTAGTGACGCTTAGCAGGAAAGAGGCTGTCTTCTCACACATCCGCTGTCCTGTTGAATGCCTTTTCCACTGTCCACTGGGGGCCGCCAGCAGGGGATCCCCCACGGGGCTGGTGCGCCCACCAGCCTGTGCCTTTCACTTACTGTTCAGTCTGTGATGTGTTCTCTCAGACCACGTCTACCTCTTTAGGGACCGCATTACAGGAAAACTCTAAAACCTCCTGTCCTCTGAGTTCCAGCTTTCCATTGTCTCTCAGTCTGTGTGAGAGAGCAGTGATGGTTATATTTATCAGCCCTAGATGTAAACAGCAAATACGGCCACCAGAAATTATAAGCGAAATTGTCTATAATCAATTTATGGTTTTAAAGCACTGGTGAAAATGCCAATGCAGTGTGTCTTTATTTTCATCTTAAAGTTAAAATAATGATCCTTAGGTCAATTATAGAGGTACCTAACACCTTTATAAAAAATATTTTCTTTTTTTAAAGCATGCAATTTACACCTGCAGCACATAGACTACAGGAAACTAGAGCTTTGTACACCTGTTATCAAAATATTTAAGGAGAGACACTGTAACCACACGTCTTACTGAGTTCGGAAATATTCTTTATATACAGCTGATGTATGGATCACGTGCTACACTTTGATTGAAAGTATTTTTTTGTAGTATTGTCTATATTGTTTTTGTTATGTGCTGTTGAATCAGAACCAACTCACAGTTGACTGTCTAGAGGGTTTTCCAAGCTTATAAATCTTACAGGAGGCGATTGCTCTTCTTTCTCTCATGGTGTAGCTTGTGAATTAGAACTTCATGCCTTTGGGTTGGCAGTTGAGCTCCTTACCACAAGACCATAAGAGCTCTCTATAATATATGCGATATTATATTTTATGCATATAAACATTTAATGTGTGTATGTATATATATGCACACATACATATATACACACACACACGTTGTTGTTGTTGTTATGTGCCATCGAGTCACTTGCGACTCATAAGCAACCTTGTGTACAACAGCCCTAATCCCTGCTCTATCCTGTGCCAATCGCACTATTTCTGACACTCCCATCCTGATTATCCCAGTCACTGAATCAGTCCACTTCATAGAAGGCCTTCCCCTCCTGTGCTGTCCCTCTACCTTACCAAGCATGATGTCCCTCTCCAAGGACCTGTCTCTCCTTACAACATGTCCAAAGTATGTCAGACAAAGCCCCAGAATCCTTGCCTCCAAGGAGTAGCCTGGTTTAACCCTCTCCAGGATGAATCTGTTTGTATGTATGTGTGTGTGTGTATATAGAGAGAGAGGAGTTTTGAATATTTCAAGGGGAGTTTGAAAACAGAAGAACATTTGTCATTATGTATTAGCAGCAATAAAGGACTATAACATCTCTACTCATTCAACCTTCTCAGTTTGGAAAGTTTTATTTCATCATGTACGAAGTCGATGCATTGCTTGAGTATTGTCATACGTACGTCTTTTATAGAGAATTGGCATCAGTTAGTGTGTGTATATATATGGATACACATTTTAATAATAAGTATTTTTGGTTGAGGAGAATAATTACGAGATTGATTCCGCTACTGGGCAGAGAATAAACCAGCAGTGCTGGCGAGAATTCAAACTAAAAGTCATAATGAACAGAAAAGAATTACACCAGTCTCAGTGATTAGGTGATTTTGTGGACTTAGAAGTGCTCCTTCTGTGCTTCCTTTCAGATGGAGGGCCCCAATACCACCTCTTACGAATACCACAGTAAACAAATTAATCACCATTAATTTCTGCGGGAGAAATTTGAAAGCACTCAGCAAGACATGCGTCCTAGCGTCTTCCGAGCTTTGTGCTATGTATTCAGCACTAGCTCTTGATAATTTGTTAACAAGGCCTTTTTAACACTTTGGACAGATGCACATACTGTTTTCAATCTTCACGGTTAATTATTCGATTTTGTATTTGATGCCAGAACACCCTGACTCCTAATCACTGCTCATTGTTGCAAGTCCATTCTATTCTAACTGTTTGAGTGCTCCCATTGACCTTGAACTGACATTATAAGCTGTGTCTAATCTTTTCAGTCTATATTCCTAATGCTGCTTTTCTTTTTCCTTTTTTTTTTTCTGATCCCTGTTTAGCATCACAATGGGACTTCCCCTGAGCCCAGCCGCTGACTCCGCCCGCTCAGCCCGGCATGCCCTCTCCCTCATTGCCACCGCCAGACCACCCGCCTTCATCACCACCATAGCCAAAGAGGTGAGGGGGCGCTCCCGCAGGGCCAGCTGCTCCTTCAGGGGAAGCCGGAGGTTCTCATCTGTACACACCCCTTCTACTTGGTTCTAGAACAATGAGCTGAAAGGGAAGTAGACAGACCTGTGTGCAAACACACAGTCAGGGATCTTCTATATGATCTTTTACATTTTTATTCCTGTAGTAAATATAGAAAGTTTATATTCTAGATATGTTGTAATAAGGGCTGATCTCCTCCCAGGCAATTTACAGCTTCAGGAGCCATCACAGGGTCAGCTATGAGCAGTTATAACTGTAGCAGTGAGTTCAGATGCAGTATTTCTCTGTGTTATGTTCGAGTTGGCTCTGACTCAGCTACTTGGACCGCATCTGTCCCACAGTCACATCTATGTCTGTCCCCATTGTGTCAGCTCATCTCATTGAGGGTCTTCAGTTTCCCACTGACCTTCTACTCCAAGTAGGACATCTTCTCCAGGAACCATTCCCTCCTGATAACATGTTCAAAATACGTGAGATCAAGTTGTCATTGCCTCCGAGGAACATTCTGGGAGTGCTTCAGTGGACACAGATTGATTTGTTCTTCTGGCAGTTCATGATAATACCCAGTCTTCCCCAACTGCACCACAGTCAAGGGCATCACTTCTTCTTCTGTCATCCTTATGCATTGTCCAGCTTTTCACGTGTATATGAAACAGTTACACCAGTAAGGTCAGGTGGGCCTTAGTCCTCAGACCCGTGTGTGTGTGTGTGTGTGTGTGTGTGTGTGTATGTGAGATTTTTCATTTTTTGATTGATGCTTCCCTGGCTGTTAATTCTGGACCCAATAAAATGCAATCTTTGATAAACTTAATTTTTTCTGCATTTACCATGAGGCTGCTTATTGGTTCAATTCTGAGGATTTTTGTTTCCTTTATGTTAAAGCATAAGCCGTGTGTAACACTCTAAAAGGTAATCAGAACAAAGGCTGTATCAGTAAGTGCTTCACATCCACTTCCCTCTCAGCAAGGTTTAGTTTTCTGCATCCCACAGAGCGTTAGTAAATGTGACTCCAATCCTGATGTTGTGTTCTTCACATAACCTAGTTCTTTAAGTAGTTGTTAAGTATAAAGACTTAAGTACATGCTGTAAGACGCAGGCCCGATACACACCTTCCCTGATTAATAGCTCTTTAGTACCTCTCTTGTTCTACTGAAACAGCTATACTTCTTGGTCTGTGTACGAGCTCTTCATAAGCACGTGTAACTCGCATTAAGAGCTTGAGAATCCTCATTTTTTCACAGTGTTATCTGTAATATGTTGTGACCCACACTGCTGAATGTCTTTGTCTTGTTCATGTAACCCAGGTAAACATCCTTCCGGTGTTAGTGGCTCTACGCCAGGATCCATCTGGAACACATGTAGTATGGCATGTTGTTGATGGCCTTCAAGTTGAGCACGACTCACAACAACCCTATGAACAAAAGGCCAGAGGCCCCTCTACAACTATCGACACTTATCGGAGCTCATAGAGTTTCCAGAGGCATGTAGGAAGTGGATGCCACTTCTGCTTCCAACTTGTCATTGAATGTTATGTTATTATGTGCCATTGAGTCGCCTATGATGTATAGTGACTCTGTGTACAGCAGCTCTGAACCCTTCCCTGTCCTGAGCCAGTCTCATTAGTTCTGACACTCCAGCCCCCATTGCTTCCTCTCCTGCGCTGCCCGTGTACCCTTCCCAGCGCAATGTCCTTCTCCAAGGACCGATCTCTCCTGGTCACATGCCCAAAGTAAGTGAGGCGGAGCTTCAAAATCCTAGCCTCCAAGGAAAGATTTGGTTTCAATCTCTCTAAGACAGACCTATTTGTTTTCATGGCAGTCCATGGTATGTTTAAGACTCTTCTCCAGCACCACAACTTGAAGGCATCTATTCTTCTTCTATCATCCTTAGTCATGGTCCAACTCTCTGAAGCATAATTGAGAAGATCATGGCCTGGATTAGGCTCAGCTTTGTATCCAGAGTGACATCGTTGCTCTTCAGCACTCTGGAGAGCTTCATGACAGCAGATTTTCCCAATGCAATTCATCTTTTGATTTCCTGACTGCTGGTGTTAAGAGTGTTGATTGTGAATCTGAGCAAAAGCTGTAATTGCAAACAACCTCAATCTCTTCTCTATCATGGTGCTGCCAATTGACCCAGTGGTGAAAATGTTTGTCTTCTTGATATTGAGCTCTTCAATCCATATTGAAGACTACAGTCCTTGACCTTTTGCAGCAAGTGTTTCAGGTCTTCTTCAGTTTCAATTAGCGTTTCTGGTGTATGTAGATTGTTGTTATTATTGTATACAGCTGAGTCGGAACTGACCAATAGCTGACCCTCCCGCAGATTTTTCAGAGGCAGTTAATTGTGTAGGAGGAGATTACACATCTTTCTTCTGCCAAGCAGCTGGTGTATTGTAGGGTAGCCTCTTGACACAAGGCCTGCAGTGCTCCCATGCATATTGTTACTGTTGTTGTTGTAATGTGCTGTCAAGTCACTTGTGTCTCATAGCAACCCTATGTACAAGAGTTCTAAACCCTGCTCTAACCTGTGTCAACCTTACTGTCGCTGACACACCTACATTACCCCAGTTACTACATCAATCCATTTCACTGAGGCTTTTCCTCTCTTATGCTGTCCCTTCACCCTCACAAACATGATGTCCCTCTCTAAGGACATGTCCAAAGTATGTCGGACAAAGTTTCAGAATCCTTGCCTCCAAGGAGCAGCCTGGTTTCACCCTCTCTAGGATGAACTGGTTTATTCTCCTAGCAGTCCATGATATATTCATCTCTCTTCTCCAGCACCACAGCAAGAAGGCAACAATTCTCTTTCTGTCATCCCTAGTCACTGTCCAGCTCTCTGATGCATAGCACACAATTGTGTAGATATGGCCTGGATCAGGCGCAACTTAGTCTCCAGCCTGACGTCGTTGCTCTTCAGTACTCTGGAGAGGTCTCTGACAGCTGACTTTTCCAATTCGATTCATCTTTTCATTTTCTGGTTGCTGGTACCAAGAGTGTTGATTGTGGATCCAAGCAAACTGAAGCTCTCAACAATCTCAATTTCTTTACCATCCATACTGATGCTGCCAATTGGCACAGTGGTGAGAATCTTTGTTTTCTTCATTTTGAGCTTCAATCCATATTGAAGGCTGCAGTCTTTGACCTTCCGTAGCAAGCGCTTCAGGTCCTCCTCAGTTTCAGCAAGTAGGGTTGTGTCATCTGCATAACGCAGGTCGGTTATTTTTATTGTTGTTATTGTAAAGGACAAATACCTGGACATTAACCTGTCAGCTGCCGATCCTGTGTTGAGTGTGGGCTCTTGTTTTCTAGGTGCACAGACACACTGCTCTTGCCGCAAACGCCCAGTCACAGCAGAGCATTCACACCACCACTCTCGCACGAGCAAAGGGTGAGATTCTGAGAGTCATCGAAATCCTCATTGAAAAGATGCCCACGGATGTTGTGGATCTCCTTGTCGAGGTAAGACTGTCCTGTTTTAGATGTTATGTCCATAAGCTTAAACATGCCAGGTCAGTGGGATGGACCAGCATCTGTATTTCCAGCACGTCTTAACAGATTGAATATTAAGGAGATCAACTCACTTTTCTGCCATTTCTGCGGACCTTATTTAAATGGCCTCAGAATTAAAATAGAATGCAAGGCCCACTTACCATTCACATGGAGTTGGTCTGTATAGCTTATTAACACTTCTAGCTCTCATTCATTTTCTTTCTCATTCTCATTTGTCATTTTAGGTAGAACAAAATGTACAGTGTGCTTAAATAAGTCCCAGTACTGTACGTAAATATTAATTGCCTTTGAGATCATTCTATGTCTTCATTCTAGTACACTGTCATAAATTTTGTTCACTATTAAAAGGATAACCTATTTAAATTTACTTTTGTTCTATTTTAAAGTAAATTCTGAAATAACAGTACCTAGAATTGTTTTCCGCAAATGAGTGTGCATAATATGAACTTTGGAAAATTAAATACTTGAGATTAGTTTTTATCTTTGTCTTCCTCCTTCCAAGGTCATGGACATCATTATGTACTGCCTTGAAGGATCTTTGGTTAAAAAGAAAGGTCTTCAGGAATGTTTCCCAGCCATATGCAGGTAAAGAAATCCTTTTCAATAGCAAATAAGTTTTTAAAAATACATCTTTTTTTTTTCTTCTGTAATTGGTTGGTTAGTAGTCTCTCTCAGTTACTAAGCCAAATATTAATTATCTTCTAACTTTCTAAAATAATTTAGGCAGTTTATAGTAAAAAGCTAAGTAAAACCAACTATTTGAAGTTAGATTTTGAAACAACCTTGTTCAAAGCTTAAATGCACTGAATATGCCTAAAATCTTTTTCCTGTTATTAACTTTCTGATTTAGAGAAGTATACTTTTCAAACAGTAGTAACCTTTATGCCACATTTTCAGTGTTAGTTATTTTTTTGCTTTTCTGATGTTGTTTTTTTGAATAAAGACATCATGCTTGGAAAGGTGGAGAGTCATTGCGGGAGAGGAAGACCCTGGATGAGTTGGATTGACACAGTAACGGGGCAATGGGAGTAAGTGTGTGAGAAGCAGTGAGATAGGCTCAGGATAGAGCAGGGTCCAGAGCTACTGTTCATAGAGTCGCTATGAGTCATAATATATTCAGTAGCTCATAACAAGAACACCTGAGGAAATGGAAATGTCCTTGGAAATGGACATCATACTTGGAAAGGTGGAGAGTTAGTGAAGGAGAGGAAGACCTTCACCAAGATGGATTGACAGAGTGACTGCAGCAATGGGTTCAAGTGCGTCAGAGATAGTGACGATGGCCCAGGATAGGACAGAGATCAGATCGTTTGTTCATAGTGTCATTATGATTTGTACTTGACTTGTTGGCACTTAACATAACAACTGAGAGTGGAGTATACGTCCTTTGTAAAAACAAGAAGTCAAGAGCGGTTAAAATGCTTCATAAGCAATGTTGTATAAGTTTATATAGTGTATAATTATTATGAAATGGAAACTTTAAAAAAATATTTTGTACTGGTTTGCTTACAAAGTTCATATACATTGTCTTTCACACCAGATCTTTCCCATTTACTTCACCCACCCCTCCCTCTACCCATCAAATTGTACGATGCTATGGTTAACCCCCTGATCTTTCCCATTTACTTTAACTACCCCTCCCTTGACATGTTGTAAGGAGGGACCGGTTGTTGAAAAGGGACATCATGCTTGGGAGGATGGAGGGACAGCACAGGAGGGGAAGACCCTCTGTGAGATGAATTGATTCAGTGACTGGGGTAATCGGGATGGGAGTGTCAGAGGCAGTGAGATTGGCACAGGATAGAGCAGGGTTTAAGGCTGTTGTACATAGGGTCGCTATGAGTCACAAACGACTCAACGGCACATAACAACAACAACAACATCCTCTCAAGCATTTATTACTTGCCTTCCTGTTAAACTTTGCCACTGCTTCTAGAGTGAGATGGTATCTCATTGTGGTTTTGATTTGCATCTCTCTTGTTGCCATTGATTTTGAGCATTTCTTCATTTGTCTCTTGGCCATCTGAAGACGTGGAGACTTTTTAATGTTAAGATATAACTTTTTTTAAAAAAGTTTTCTTTTAGAGCTCTGTTTATAGCTTGAGGTTTATTTTATGAAAAATTTTTACCTCTGTGTAGTCAATAATTTTTAATTCTGTTGAAGATAATTGTTTTAACAGAAAGCCAGCCAGTCATTTTCTCCTATTTATATAACAAGTCTGATGAAACTAGCTTTGGAGAGATTTTAGCCTCTGAGGACCAGTTTGGGAAGGAGTTCACACAACTGCATATAAAGCTGCATAAATTTAGTGCTTATAGAGATAACTAGGAGACAGGTGGAAAGGTGAATCTTAAAAGTGTGGAATATCCCCTCTTTGTTGGATACTCAGAAGAACTAATGATGTCTTTAGAGATCAATAAAATTGGATGAATGAATGGATGAGCTGTGGGAAATTAAAATAATTCATTAGCCATTTCTTTCACCATTTTCTTCCACTATCATGACCTACTGTTAAGAAGCTACATTGTTAGGGGACCTTTGGTGGCCTAATGGCGAGAAGCTGTGCTGCAGTCCTGAAGGTGCATGGTTCTAATCCACCAGATTCTCTGCTGGAAAGGGAGGAGCAATCTCCTCCTGTAACAGTCGTATCAGATTTGACAGTACACAACAATTAAAGAAAAAGTTTTTTTAAAAAGAAGCTGCATTGTAAACCCAAAGGCACTTAGTTCAAAAATCCACCAGTTGCTCTGCAGGAGAAGCATGGACCAGTTCCTCCCATATGACTAGCTACTCTGAAAATCTGCTGGAGGGTTTGCTATACTTTTGTTCCGACTTGTTTGTGCATAACAACAACAACAATTTTATTAAACCTCTGTAACAGCATCATCTTTGAAGTTCTGACCTTATTCCATGCTGTGTTTCTAGCTGTTGTTGTCATGTACCATCAAATTGGAACCAACCCGTAGGTGACCCTCCAGCAGGTTTTCAGAGGCAGTAAATTGCACAGAAGGAAGATCACCCATCTTTCTCCTATGAGAAAAGCATTTGGTAGAATTGAACTGTGTGCCTTTGGATTAAAACAACTCCTCACCACTAAGCCGCTAGAGTAGAAGTGCTGTAAAGCCGGAGAAAGTGTAAAAAGAGAAAGATGGTCTCTAAAATCAACACTCCAGATTAATGGTTTCACATGGACTCCCTTTAAGAGAATTACCCAGTTTCCAGGCCTCCCTTGAGAATTACTACTTTGAACTATCTAGTCGTGAAGGCTGCAAAGATAACATTTAGTAGCTTCTGTTGGTGCGAACACTAACAGTTTGAAAACAATTACTCTAATCCAAAAATCTAGAAAAGAAGAACTTGAATCATCTTCTTGTAGCCGTTTTCTGTGATGTGAATTCTTGGGACTCATTTTGGCTTTGTTTGTTTGATAAATAAACTCAGACATTCTAAGGAAACACCTACAGATAATCCTCCCACTCAGACAATCCAGTGATGCACAGTTAGTTTTAAAGGCTTGCCGAAAACCTGCTGGAGACTAGAACTCCAACTGTTAATGAACAGCTTTGATCTAAAATGCAGTAGAGCAAAATTGAGCCTTAGAAGAAATTTGAAAGACGTGTTGCCTAGTCCTGATTGTTCTAGTTTACATTCTCAGGTGAAAGCTCTTGGGGCACCGTATGCTTGGACCATGATGTCTGTCCTCGAGGTAACCTAATCAAGTTCGTCTTCCCTCTTAGGTCCTGATAGGTTTTGCCCTAAGAAGGAATCTGCTTTGTTGTCATCTTTCATACAATCAGTGTTAATTTACATGTCTTTTCCCTTTAACCATTGTTGTTGTTGTGACCTACATAGCTGACCCTCCAGCAGATTATCAGAGGCAGCAAATCACGGGGAGGAGCTTGCTTATCCTTGACCCTAAGAGCAGCCGGTGGATTGGTACCATGTACCTTTGGGATTGCCATGTAGCTTCTTCCCAGTCAGTTACCAGGGGCAGCTCAAAGCCAAATTCTAGCCCCGACCTTAGTAATTATGTCTGATTTCTCCCATGTTGTTATTGTGTATCACAGCATCAGAACCTACCCATAGCTGACAGGTTTTCAGAGGCAGTTAATCGCATGAGAGGAGATTACCCATCCTTCTCCTGTGGAGCACCTGGTGGCCTTAGACCCTGTGCCTTCAGGATTTCAGCGCAGCTTCTTGCCACTCGGCCACCAAAGCTCCCTGTTTCTCCCATACTCCTTAGCAACTCAGCAACAGCTAACAACACACACAGTCACACACATATACGTAAACACGCACAAAGAGCACTGGTGGCTTCGTGGATTAAGTGTTGGCCTGCTAACTGAATGTTCGGCAGTGTGAATACCTAGCCTCTCTGTGGGTGAACGATGAGGCATTCAGGTTCCGTTAAGATTTACAGCCTTGGAACCCTCTGGAGGGTCTCAAGGAGCAGAGCAGTCAACTAGGCGGCAGTAAGTGCATGCAGGTGCACACACACACACACACACAAACACACACACATCTATTTTATTTCTAAAAAGTGTGGAATAAAAACTTATAATTGTAAACAGAATGGCAACTAAAATTATCTTCTAAAAGTTAAAAAAAATGCTTCTCGGTTTTAAGTAAAGAACTCTTTATCTTTCTGGGGTAGTTTCTGTATTTGTAGGTAATTTTCTAGAATAGATTTAGTGAAAAATATAAAACTCAGGTAACTTTAGCTGTTGTATAATCTTCGTAGCCATAGATGTAAATGTTTCCTAATAGTTTACATTTTGGTTCCAAGAATATGATTAATAATATAGTGGCATCCATTAGCAAGACAAGAAAATTGCTGAGGTCCCAATGCCCTTGAGAGCCCCCCATCATTCAAAGCACAATTATCCAAAATAGTTCTATTGTCATATTTTTACCATTGCAACAAAGGAGGGTTTATTATTGTACAGAAATGAAACTGGATTCTTTTAGAATGCAGATGCATTAGTAATAAGATTATTTCCCCTCTGAATTAGTTTTCTGTTTATGAGTACATGAAGTAAGATGCCCAATAAAGTAATATTTTAAAAATGAATCCCTCCGGATTCTCTCTTGGCTCTTTGGAATGTGTGTGCCATTGCCTCTCTGAGTCTCCTAGGTGATTGTCAAAGCAGGGGAGAAAAAAACCATCCAGCACTCTAGATAATTGTTCAAGGCAGAAGTACAGAGGGTTCTGAGTAATTTACATTTAATTGCCTGGAATATAAATAATACAGCGTCCTCCGTTAAAAATACCCTTGACATTAGGAAAGTAGAGCTCGCTCCTTCTGAGCCTTGAGAGGATAAACATCACTGAAGTTTTCCCAGAATTCATTGTTGACACTTGCTTACCCAATGCCATGTCCCTGAACTTGACTGTCTTCATCGCATCCTTCATTGCAGCAGACCAGTCAGTTCTGAGACAGCCGTGCTCACTTAGTGTTGTTTTGGTCACCGTATCAACGAGGATACACATCATGCTTCTTTATATGATATGATGACTTGAAATATGAAAATGTGGACCTATAGTTTTAGTTGTATAGTGTCTGTTTCATAGATGTTACTGATG